GTCCTTGTGTTATGTACTATGGAGTTAGAACTGAGTTACAGCTGACTCGCCAGCCTGCTTTCAAAGATGGTAAATCACACAGTAGGAGATTGTCCATGGAGCAGCTGGTAGATTCAAACCCTCGACTTTGGGTTAGCAGTGAACTCTTTACTACTAAGCCACCAGAGCCAGAAAAGGCAATTCCCAGTTTTATTTGGAAAGGAAAGAGACTCTGAATAAGCAACGCTCTTACAGAAAATGAGCTTCGAGCCATTGGCAGGAAGAGCAGCAGGTCCAAAGTTATATTGCTTCAAACCCCTGTCAGTCTTGATCTAAGCCTTACTACCTTAATAAAACTTCCATTAAATTTTGTTTCTGCATGACTCAGTACATATGAGAGGCCAAAGAGGGAGGAGCTCTGGTGGCCTAGTGACAAGAAGCTGCACTGCAATCCAGAATATGGGAAGCCAATACTCAATATTTGTAATAAACTGAATGCTATTTCAGGATGTGGTAGGGGAGGCACGGTTCACACTGGAGTTCACCCAGAGGCACAAAGGCAATCCTTCAGGTTTTACCAGATTCTTGCATTTGCTGACCCCTCCCTTCTGAGTCAAGCAGAAGGTTTTCAATAGAATGAGCTTGGCTTCATTTGCATTGAATTCTCTTTGTGATTTACTTCCTGATAATTTTCAAAGAAGATACAGAGAAGCTTGGCTTGGGGTCTTCAGTTGAGAACTGCTGGCCCTCTGTTTTATGCTCTCTACTCTATCTCATTCCTGGCTGTCTGTCTCATGATTCATAATTATAAAATTACTTTACCCTGGTCTGCAGCACCTGAAGGCATGTGGTTTGAGGCCACCAGCTGCTCAGTGGGACAAGAATGAACAATCTCCTACCATGCGATTAACTGCCTCTGAAAACCTGCTGGAGGGACAGCTGGGTGGGTTCTGAATCTACAGTACACAACAACAACAACACAAACAGACGTAGTGTAAAGGCAGAGCCTTAACTCCACTCTGAAGTATTGACATCAGTCTGGAATCCATGTTGGATTTTTAGAAGCTGTCTTTCCTTCTTTAAGTGTGGTGCTGACGTGGGCCAAATACCTCAATGGCAACATTCCTTTCTCTGAGGTCCTGCCTGTGTAGTGCGTTGCTGTTGTTGTTGTGTGAGCTGCGTCAGAACCAACTCATAGGTGAACCTCCAACAGGTTTCAGAGGCACTAAATTGCATAAGAGATTGCCCATTCTTGTTCTGAGAAACAGCTGGTGGATTTGAATTAGATGCCTTTGGGGCTGTAATGTAGCTTCTTTACCACTAGCTAATCTGTTATTGATGCCTTCGAGCTGTGGTGCTGGAGAAGAGTATTGAATGTACCATGGACTGCTACGAAAACAAGCAGATTCATCCTGGAAAGGGTCAAACCGGGCTGCTTCTTGGAGGCAAGGTTTCTGAGGCTCCATCTAACATACTTTGGACATGTTGCAAGGAGGGACAGGTCCTTGGAGAGGGACATCATGCTTGGTAGGTGGAGGGACAGCGCAGGCGGGGAAGACCCTCTATGAGGTGGATTGATTCAGTGACTGGGATAATCAGGATGGGTGTGTCAGAGGCAGTGCGACTGGCACAGGACAGAGCAGAGTTTAGGGCTGTTGTACATAGGGTCGTTATGAGTAACAAGTGACTCGACGCACATAACAACAACAAAAACAATCTATTTCCAAAAAGTGTCCTTATGAGACTGAGTTAGTTCACTCAGCATAAGGCCCTCCAGTCTCTCCCAAGTTATGTAGTTTTTTGTTGTTGTTATTGTTGTTTCATTGCTCCTGACTGCTGTGAAGTATTCCGTCATGTGAATGTACCATAATATCTCAATGCATTCAGTTGTGATTGGGCTTTTGGGATGTTTCCATGTTCTTGTGATGGTGAATAATGTTAGTATGAGCATTGGTGTACAAATGCCCTTCTGTGTCTCAGTTCTAATTTCCTTGGGATATGTACCTAGCAGTGGAACAGCTGGGTCACACGGAGTGTCTGTGTTCAGCTTTAATGTCAGTGAAGGAAAGTGTGAAACACAAAACAAAACCAAAAAGACCACTATGTACATGAATGAAACACAACATATATGAATCATTTTTTAAAAAAGAAGAATAAAGTGTGTATGAGGAAAAGAAAATGTCTTTGTTATAATAGAGGAATAGATGTAACATGCCATAGGTCTTGAGATACAGCACTATCTAAATTTCTATAATAAACTTCCTGAAAATAGTGGTAAGGAATTTCTCTGTCAACCCGAAGAAGCTTGGTTTGAATCCACCGGCTGCTCTGTTAGAGAAAGATAGTCAATCTCCCATGTAATTAACCACCTCTGAAAAACTTCTGGAAGGTTATCTATGGGTTGGTTTTTATTTCAACGCTAAATAACAATAACTGAGAATTTTTTTCCCTTTTATATCTATTCCCCCATATTATTATTGAAGTAGTGTTTTCATAGTCACAGAGAATATTCATGTAACTGCTTCACTTGTTTTTCTTGTGAAACATCAGAAATAATTTTTAAAGAGAACAATAAGAAGTTAAATAATCAAAGAAACAATTTTATTTGAGTGCAGCTTTGCCTTGGAACAATGAGGCTCTGGGTCAGGTTAGAATGTTTCAGTGGAAGATTTAGCAACAGAGTAAATTCCTAAAAGAGCCGAAAAGGGATATTTGTATTAATTCACTCTGCCCACACTAATGTCCTTGAGAAGATCATCTTAAAATATTTAAGCATAATCAAGTTTTGAGAGTCTGCATGCCTCTAAGTGTATAAAGGTAGAAAACAAAAGCATCAAGGCAAACTCTCATAGGTAGATTGATTACAAAATAAACTCCGCAATAGAGCAAAATCAAATATAAATGCTATATAAATATTAAATTTTTGAATAAGAATTATGTTTATTATTGGCAGTTTTTCTGTTTATATTTACTGCAAATAGTTGAGTCACTGATGGCATAAAGTTGGTGGATATCTGACTACTCTGTCAAAAGAAGGGTGATTCTAACCCCACAGAGGTGCCTTGGAAGAAGGGATAATAGATTTTGAAAACATACAGCTTTGCATGTCCTATCAAAACATTTGACTACGTATTCACAGTACAACCACGATTTAGGATTGCAGTGATGACTGTCAACTTGACTGCTAACTGAAATCTAGATGATTCAAACCTACCAGCCTATCTATGGCAGAACAGCATTGCATTCTACTTCTGTAAAGATTGGTAGCCTTGAAAACTATATGGGGCATTTGGCGAGCTCTGGTGGCCTAGTGGCAAGAAGGTGCACTTCAGTCCCAGAGGTGCACGGGTTCGTATCCACCAGATACTCTGCTGAAGAAGGAAGGTCAGTCTCCTCCTGTACCAGTCTGATCTGATTTGATGGTACACACATAAAAAATAAAAAATTTTAAAAAAACAAACTATATGGGGCATGAGTTGGAATTCAACTTGAAGCAATGGGTTCAAATTATTTATACAATAAAAGTCATTTATACAATAATAACATGGATAGTTAGACTCATGAAAATAAACTGTATAACTAGTACATTCAACTGTTGATTCATATATTAAGCTTTTAGATAGTCTCATATTCCATGGCTTTTAATTTCTATTATTAGTGAATATTTACACAATAAATGAGGTTCTCCTTTAGCAATTTCTAAAGATCCTGTTTAATGACATTTCTTACATCTTTTTACAGTATGTCAACATGTTATAAATTCCACTCTAGTTCTGTTTCCCCTAAACTAGCTTCCCTGTCCAACTCCTGAACTTCCTATCCTTACTTTAGGATAAATACTGATCACTTGGTTCCTATAAGATATTCTTTTAAAAAGAGCACAGTACTCACTGATACTGTTTGTTTATGAGATGATCTGTCCTTTGACTGAAGAGTGACCTCAAAAGGTGGATCCCTATTTTTTTGGACGAGATCGAGGAAGACTGCAGGCGGGAGCAGCAAGTTTCAGGGGTCCAGCCTTGCTGCCTCGTTATGATGACCAGCGTGGTTAAGACAGTGTATACTCTGCAGCCCCCGTCTACGCAGAGCGGCAGCCTGCCCACAGACAGACAATCTCGAGCTTCTAAAAGTTTCTTACCTGTTAAATCTAAAGAAGTAGACATGTCCAAAAATTTTCATGCAAGCAGTTCAGAGACCGATATTACAAAAGCCATCAAACCGAGATGAGAAAATGGGCAGATGAAAGCTACAGACACTGCCATGAAAACAAACATCAGAAAGAACTACAAACCACTGAGTAAGCAGAAAGCAGAGGAAGAGTTCAAGGATAAGAAGCAGCTCTTAGAGGCCGTCAATAAGCAATTGCACGTAAAGTTGACTGAAACCCAGGGAGAATTGAAAGACCTGACTCAGAAGGTGAAGCTGCTGGAGAAGTTTCAGGACAACTGTTTGGCAATTTTGGAGAGCAAGGGCATAAACCCAGTTTTAGGAAATGAGTCCCTCGCAGCACAAGAACCCACTACAGATCACATGGAGTCTATGTTGCTGTTAGAAACTTTGCAAGATGAGCTGAAGCTTTTTAATGAAACTGCCAAAAAGCAGATGAAAGAGTTACAGGCCTTAAAGGTAAAGTTGAAGACGAAAGAAGAAGAAAGGATCCGGTTCCTAGAACAGCAAAGCATATGTAACAATCAAGTAAATGATTTTACAACTGCCCTTGAAGAAATGGAGCAGCTATTAGAAATGTGATGATAAAAAAGGGAAGTGGCCAAATGGCTCCCTCTCAGAATAAATGCTTTGAGGAAGCCACTTAGGACATGTGCTTCTTGGCCATCACCTGGGACTCACCATCCCCTAAATGAAAACAGCTTCTGTGGTAGGACTAAGGACAGGTTTATAGAGGAATGGCAGCTCCATCCTTAAGCAAGTGCTCCCATCAGGCAGATTGGCTACCTCTCCCGAGCCTCATGCATAGGTAATTGAGGCTTGCAAGAAGGGAGGACGTGGAGGCTTGGATTAACCTAGGCCACAAAGCCGCACACCACTAGAACTGGGAGACTAGCCCCAGCCGGAGGGCCTAAGATCACATTGACATTTGGGGAAGAAAACCTTAATTGTACAGTGGAGTACAAGTGCTCCACAAGAGACACGGTTGAGGAACCACGCAGCCCCCTTCCAACCTCTAGCACATTCTGTCCCCTCCTGGTTGGTCTTCTATTCTTCATTGTAAATTTATCAACTTGAAGTTGCTTAAAATTAGTTTAATAAATGAGGTGAAGGCTCAATAAAAAAAAAGGTGGATCCCTTTCTTAAAATAATGATATCCCCCAGCAGAAGTCTCAGGGAATCCTCTCATTTCTACCAGCCCATTATGTCTAATCTTTAGGAATTGAAGCTTGTTATACACTTTCCTACCACTCTGACTGGAACCATCCACTGTTCTCCTTATCAGAACAGTTGTTAGTAGTAGGTGGGCACCATCTAGATCTTCTGATTTCAAGACCAATAATATAGTGGTTCTTATGAGCTATTCCAGAGCTCTGGTGGCCTCGTGGTGGCGAGAAGCTACACTACAATCCTGAAATCGCATGATTCAAGACCACAAGGCACTCTGGGAGAGAAGGACGGGCAATATCCTTCGGTGTGATTAACTAACTGCCTCTGAAAACCCGCAGGAGTGTCAGCTCTGGGTCAGTTCTGACGCTACAGTGTTCAACAACAACAACATGAGCGGTTAGTTCTGTAGACAGATTTCTTCTTTGAGTTTTGATAGCCCTTTTTCTCTTTTACTCCAGATCCGTGCAGATCAATATTTTCATCTTACGTGGTCACTCATAAGCAACAAGGGTTGCTGTTATTTTTAGGTGTAATGGAGTCGAACTTGACTTATAATGACTCTATATGACAAAATAGAACAACTCCATAGGACTTTTCTGGGCTGAGATCTTTACAGAAGCAGATTGTCTAGGTCTTTATCTACCAGAACTGCTGTGTGCTCAAATTACCAACCTTTGGGTTAGCATATAGGTGGTTAACTACTACAACACCAGGACTCCTTGAAAAAAACAATAATCATACACAAATAAGTTGGAAACCTATTTATTTTTATACTTTTATCCTTGTAGTATGAGTATTTTATTCTTTTGAAAATTTTAATGTGAGCATTTTGGTTCAAAGAATTGAAAAATACAATTTTTTTCCCAACATGATAATCATATAGGGAGCCCTGGTAGTCAACTGTTCAAATAAAGACCAAGCCTTTCTGGAAGTTCACATGCACCTGCAACTCTGTGGAAAAAAGAAGGTCAATCTACTGTGTGACTTAGAACCTCAGAAACCCACTGAGGGCTCAGTTAGGAGGCCCTTCATCAACTTGATGGCAATGAATATTTACATATTTCCTAATTTAAAAAAAATGTACTAACAAAAGTTTGCAAACCTTCCTTGAAAAGTGTGTCTGTTACTCAACTGGGAGTCTTAGAACAGTCATTCAAGTACAGACCCAAAAAATAATAGACACTGCACAGCCATGTTTATTGCGGCTTTGTTCACAATGGCAAGGAGTTGGAAACAACCTAAGTGCCCATCAACATACGAATGGATAGAGAAGCTCTGGTATATTCACACAATGGAATACTATGCTACATTGAAAAACAAGGAACTCATGCAATATTATTCAAAATGGGTGACCCTGGAGGACATTATGCTGAGTGCAGTATCTCAGTCACCAAAGGACAAATACTGCATGGTGTCACTGTTGTAAAACAGGACTGACCTCAGGGTTGGGGGAAGACTGAGAAAGATGGATTCAATAATGTATATACTGCATTGAAACAGATAAGGGAGAAAACTGTTTAAAAGGGCTATGTGATTAGGTAATTTTGTCATGGCAGGTGTCTAGAGCAAAAGCTACAGGGTGGAGTGGGCCTTGGGGGGGGGAGGGGTTGTTAAACAATGAAAGAATTTTACTTTTCCAAGAGGGTAGTGTACTAGAGGGGAGGGTTCAGAGGGGAGAAAAGTGCAACAATGAATGAATGGAAATACAAAGTCTCTGTAAATTTTTACTGAAATTAATAATAAATTTTAAAAAAGAAAAAAGAACTAAAAAAAGGAAAAAATAATAGACACAAATTTATAATCTAATAACACAACTAATTCATTTTATCAAAACTAGCCATATTCCATTTACCTTTAAAAGTTTCCCACCCTAACACAACTAAATGGAGCACAGACATGATATCCCATGTTTGTTTGCTGCTATTGAAAGTTTACAGAAAGAGAATGTTCTGTTCATTTATTCGTACACATATTTCTCCTTCTCCCTCCCCCAATTCACTTTGTAATGCACACCTTCTTTCAGATTGTTGACGCAAGTGTCTTCCTATTTCAGTGCATGTTTGCTTGGCATGTGGTAGATAAATGTCAGTGGAATAAATTATTAAATAAAATGTCATTATTGAGGTTTTTGACAGAAAAGACTGCTTTTGGGGGGCTCTATGAGGAGAAATGTGGAGTCAAGATTGGTGGAAGATCTATCAACAATCTGAGACATGCAGATGACACAACCCTACTTGCTGAAACTGAGGAGGACCTGACACGCTTGCTGCAGAGGGTCGAGGACTGCAGCCTCCAATATGGATTGAGGCTCAATGTCAAGAAGACAAAGATTCTCACCACTAGACCAATTGGCAGCATCAGGATAGATGGTGAAGAGATTGAGATTGTTCACAGCTTTAGTTTGCTTGGCTCCACAGCCAACACTCTTGGCACCAGTAGCCAGGATATTAAAAGACGTATTGCGATGGGAAAGTCTGCTGTTAGGGACCTCTCCAAAGTACTGAAGAGCAATAGTGTCTCTCTGGAGACTAAGGTGCATCTGACACAGGCCATGGTCTTTGCTATCACTTGTTATGCATCAGAGAATTGGACAATGACTAAGGAGGATAGAAGGAGAATTGATGCCTTTGAGCTGTGGTGCTGGAGAAGAGTATTGAGAATACCATGCACTGCTAGGAAAACAAACAGATTCATCCTGAAAAGGGTTAAACTGGGCGGCTTCTTGAAGGCAAGGATTCTGAGGCTCCATCTACCATGCTCTGGACATGTTGTAAGGAGGGACAGGTCCTTAGAGAGGGACATCATGCTTGGGAGGGTGGAGGGACAGCCCAGGAGGGGAAGGCCCTCTATGAGGTGGATTGATTCAGTGATGACTGGGGTAATCATGATGGGAGTGTCAGAGAGTGCAATTGGCACAGGACAGAACAGAGTTTAGGGCTTTTGTACATAGGGTCGCTATGAGTTGCAAGCAACTCGACGGCACATAACAACAACAGCTAGTTTATTTACAAAATTCAAATACATTGTTTTCCAGGACAGATTTTTCCAATGTCCCTCATGCCGCACCCATCAAATTGTACAACCCCATGATTAATGCCCCTGACCCCCTGCATATCCTCATCCCTCTGCTTCTACCCTCCACACACATCCCCGACCCCCCGATCCTTATACTCATTCTACAATAATGGTTTTATACAGTATTTGTCCTTGTGGGGCTGAGTTAGTTCACTCAGCATAATGCTCTCCAGTCCCTCCCAAGTTAGGTAGTAATTTAAAAAAATCATTGCTACTGCGTGCTGCATAGTTCCATTGTGTGAACGTATGACAGTGTTTCAATCCATTTGATTGTGGTTGCACATCCAGGCCGTTTCGATGTTCTTGTGATGGTGAATAATGCTCCTATCAACATTGATGTACAAGTCTCCATTTGTGCCTCAGTTCTCATTTTCTTGGTGTATATTCCAAGTAGTGGAATAGCTGGGTCACATGGCATTTCTTTGTTCAGCTTTTTAAGGAAATGCCAAACTGCCTTCCAGAGTGGTTGTACCATTTTACAATCCCACCAATATCAACAACTTTCTTGAATGCGTTCTTCACTTCCTTGTTCCTCAGGCTGTAGACCACAGGGTTGAGCATGGGGATGACTATGGAGTAGAAGACTGATGCCACTTTGTCCGTGTCCATGGAGTGACTGGAGCTGGGCTGTAGGTACATGAAGATGACTGTCCCGTAGAAGATGGACACTGCAGTGAGGTGGGAAGCACAGGTGGACAAAGCTTTCTGGTATCCTTGACCTGAACGCACCTTCAAGATGGTCATAAATATGAACAGGTAGGAAACTGAGATAATCAGAAGAGCAAAAACGACATTAAAAGTTGTCAGAGAAACAAGAAACAGCTCACTAATGAGTTTCTCAGAGCAAGAGAGAGCCAAGATGGCTGGAACATCACAGAAGAAGTGTTGGATCATTCGGGACCGACATAAAGAAAGGCTGAATACGTCGCCCACGTGGAAACAGGCATTGAGGACACCACAGGCAAAGGAGCCTAGGGCCATGCGAATAGATACACTGCTTGTCATGATGGTGGAATAATGTAGGGGTTTACACACTGCTGCGTAGCGATCATAGGCCATTGAGGTCAATAGGAAATTTTCTGACGTTGCAAACACTACAAAAAAGAACATTTGGATAGCACATGCATTGTAGGAGATGATATTGTCTTCTACAAGGAACCCAGCCATGACCTTGGGAGTCACAGCTGAAGAGTAAGCAAAGTCGGCTAGCGAGAGGTTACTGAGGAAAAAATACATGGGAGTGTGGAGGCGAGAGTCCACAAGAATCAGCCCGATCATGCCCAGGTTCCCAATCAGAGTGGTGAGGTATAAAAGAGTGAACAGGACAAAGAGTGGGACCTGAAGTTCTGGAGCTTTGGTGAGACCCACGAGGACAAACTCCCTCAGCTCTGTACTGTTCTCCACAGGATTCATGATGTGCCCCCTGCAGGAGCAAGAAGTAAAAAGTTGACAAAGTAAAGATAGTTCACTAAAATAAAAACATAGACATACTCTACATTCTTTCCTCATTGCACTATGACAGTGATCTATTCTTTACCATTCTTATATCTAAAGTACAGTTTGGACAAAAATAAATTGGTGCATTGTTGGGGACCTGGCTAACTTGCAATGCAAGATTACCAATGCATTGTAAAACCAGCAGGACCACCCATATTGGCTTGACCATCTATTTGACAGTAAACAACCCAAGGAAGCAGAATGCTAATGAATAGGGAGTGACCAAAGGTCTCAGAATTCAAGGAATGTGATACCTTTTTGCTTTTTGTTCTTCAAAACACATTATAGGATATTCCAGAAGATATCCTTGTTTTGTGTTGAGATCTGGGAATGTTTGATCAACCAGTCAACATCTCAGACAGATAGGAGGAGGGTGGAGAAAACAGTGCAACAATGAATGAATGAAAACCCCAAATCTCTGTAAATGAGCATTAAAACTAATAAAATTTAATAATTAGAAAAAGAGATAATGTGATTATCCCTGCAGGCATGTTTCTTGAAACATATATAAACTTAGGCTAGAGAATAAAGCTTTTGCTATTCAGTCATCAGCGATAGTCTCTCTGCGTCTTCGTTTAATCCTCGTTCCCTTCTCTCAGCGGAAGTGTTTTGATATATCGGGGCAGGAACCTGATCGTGCATAATTTACCTGTGTAACTGTACACTGTGAAACAGAAGATTTCTCACAAATCATGTGGCCAACTTTCTACTTTTGTAAATGAACAAGCAGAGGTGCAGAATTACAACTTCTTCCAAGTCATATTTTGAAGAAATGTGTGTCCCTATGGCATTTATTTTATGTTATTTGTACATTCTATAGTTATTTGTATAAGCTGTGTCTCACATACTTCGGGCATGTTGCTAGGAGAGGCTATTCCTTGGAGATGGACATGGCGCTTGGGAAGGGGGAGGGAAGGCAAAAGAGAAGAAGACCCTCAATTTGATGGATTGACACAGTGACTGCAGCAATGAACTTCATAGTGTCAGAGATTGTGAGGATGGCACAGGGCAGGATAGGCTGAGATCTGTTCGTAGGGTCACTGTAAGTTGTACTTAGCTTCACAGCAACCAACAACAAAAAAACAAAAACAAACAAGAACAACATGGTTATTATACATTATACATTACTCATTGTCATTAAGTGGGAAACTACGCACAGCTGACCCTCCAGTGGGTTTTTAGATATGGTCAATTACACAGGATGAAATCCTATCTTTCTCCTGAGGAGCCACTGATGGATTAGAACATCCCTGCTTTGAGTTGACAGCACAACTTCCTGCCTGCCAAACTACTATACCTCTGTTTAATAGAATACACACACACACACACACACACACACGTTTAACTCCATTGTTATGTGCCATCGAGTCAGCGGCAACTCATAGAGATCCTATGTACAACAGCTCTAAACCGTGCTCTATCCTGTGCCAATCTTATTATCTCTGACACACCTAGCTCCATTACCCCAGTCACTGAGTCAATCCATCTCATCGAGGGTCTTCCTCTCCTGTGCTGTCCTTCCACCCTCCCAAGCATTATGTCCCTCTCTAAGTACTGATCCCTCCTTGTAACATGTCCAAACTATGTCAGACGAAGCTTCAGAATCTGCCTACAAGGAGCAGCTTGGTTTACCCCTCTCCAGGAAAAACCTGTTCATTCTCCTATCAGTCCATGGTATATTCAATTCTCTTCTCCAATACTACAGCTCAAAGGCATCAATTCTTCTATCATCTCTAGTCTTTGTCCCACTCTCTGATGCATAGCAAGTGATTGCAAAGACCATGGCCTGTATCAGGTGCACCTTAGTCTCCAGACTGACCTCATTGATTTTCAGTACTTTGGAGGAGTCTCTGACAGCAGACTTTCCCAGTGCAATGTATCTTTTCATTTCCTGGCTGCTGGTGAAGAGAGGGCTGACTGTGGAGCCAAGCAAACTAAAGCTGTTTATGATCTCAATCTCTTCACCATGCATCACGAAGCTGTCAATCGGCCCAGTGGTGAGAATATTTATTTGATACTGAGCTTCAATCCATTTTGAAGGCTGCTGTCCCTGACCTTCTGCAGCAAGCGTTTCAGGTCCTCCTGAGTTTTAGCAATTGGGGTTGTGTCATCTTCATAACACAGATGGTGGATGAGTCTTCCTCCAATCCTAATGCCACACTTCTCCTTATAGAGCCCAACCACCCAGATAATCTGTTCTATATAGATTAAAAAGGTATGGAGGTAGGACACATCCCTGGCATACACCCTTCCCAATTTTGAACCATGCAGTGTTGCCCTGCTCTGTTCTGACGACTGCCTCCTTGTCCAAGTAAAATATTGATTATTTTCTGAAAACTTATGAGTGTCAACTTGAAAACCCATGTCCTAAACCTTTGTACTGTCTTCTCTTTTAGACATTACAGATGTAACAGATCTTCTTCTTCTAGGGTACTTATAATGATCACATTACAGGTAAATAATATTAAAATGAAGTGTGGGTCTAATGTCATTATTCTCTTTCTGGAATCTGAAAAGGACTGTTGATTCACAGTCCAGAATAAAAGCTACATAGCAAATCGGACTGGGGGGAGGGGGAGTGGGGGGAGGAAAATGTACAGCAATGAATGGATGGAAATCCAAGTTCTCTAAAAACTTTTGTTAAAATCTCAATTAAAACAAAAAAAGGACTGTTGATTCACAATGATCAAGCAATAACAGATCAACACATAGTAAACAAGAAGGAATTAATACCTGTTCAATTATAGCAATATCTGTCGAAGGTTTTTCCCCATCCTCCTTCAGATAATAGTATAATGGTTTCTGTAAGTACCATTGACATTTCTACTGAAAGAGCATTTTGTCTTTGAGATCCTCGCATAACAGAATAAAATAAAATGCACGTGACTTTGTATTCTAACCCTAATACAGATGTAGATTTCCTACAGTTCTGTGTATATTACTTACCCTTCTCTCTGGAAAAATATTTATGCAGTATAGAAACTTACCTCCCTTATTGAGAAAGTTGTGGGAGCCTTGACACTTGAGTCTTGGCCTGAGACCCTTGCAGAGAAGAATATAAAATTCTACTGGAGATGTTCTCTTGGATCTGGTGAAGTGTCCTTGAAATTATCACTTTCTCAAGGCCAAGGTAGTTTTCTTTGTTTGTGAACTATAGATAATAAATAATATTATTACCATTCCCATGTACTTTATAGATTTGTGACTGTGAAAAGGGAACGTCTATAAGACAATTCAGACGAGGGCTATCATCTAAAAAGAATTTTTGTTTTAATCTTAAAGAGCTTTCCTTGAAGGCGGTTGCCAGCTGTAACCAATCTTCAGTTTGGGGAGATGGCTGGCATATATCATAACAACTTCATATGGAAACGAGTACATAAATAATTAAAGGGGCTGTGAAAACAGTCTCGTCTCTTTCTGGTGAGTAAACAAGGTCCTCTTTGAGTTTCAGAAGCTAATGAATAGAATTGAGCAGGAATTTTAGAAACAGAGCTCTCTAGGGAACAGACTCCCTGTGAGGGCAACCACCATTTTCTCTACCACTTAACTAGGGAAGTGGCAATTAAATTGCTTGGGGAAACTGATTTGTTGATCAAGCACATGAATGTAGTTATGCTATTTATTGTCATTTATTCATTAAAAAAAAAAACATTTTAGTGCAAATGTAATTCATATGTAATCAAGTGCACACATTTCAATCCACAGTTCTGAGGAGCTGGGTAAGGATAGTCCATCAGTTCCCAAATACCCTTGTGCTCCTTTGCAATTAAACCCTCCTGTCACTCCTAGATCTCAGCAACTGCTACTATGATTTGTAGTCTGATGAATTTTTATGTAGTTAGAACCACAGAGTATATAGACATTTGAATTTGGCTTTCTTTTCCACATAGCATAATGTATTTTTTAGATTCGTCCATTTTGTTGCATATATCAGTGTCTTTTTATTGTTGAATACCATACCATTGTATAAATCTAATACAAACTGTATATTTCTAGTTTTTTGCTTATCACAAATTAATTTTTTATAAGCATTTACATTCAAATTTATCTGAAGACAATGGTTTGCCTTTTACTTGAGTAAATATCTTGTATTCATATTTTTGACAAATATGGTAAATGCATACTTACCTTCTCAAGAAACTACCAAATACTGTTTTATGTACCATTTTGCATCCCTACCAGTAATGCATAGTCTCAATTTCTTCATATCATTGCCAAACTTTGGTATTGTCTTATTTTTTATAATTCATTTTGGTTTTACTTTGTATTTTCCAAAAACAAATGATGCTCTTATATGCCTTTTTTTATCCATTCAAATCACATGTCCATTTATTATCATAAGGTTATTTGTTTTATTATTGAGTTTTGAGAGTTCTTTATATATTCTGATATATAACTGTCAAATATTATACCTGATCTGTGTGAGGCATGTTTTTTTGTTGTTGTTTTCATTTTCCTAACACTGTATTTCAATAGCAATTGATGAAGGCAAATTTGTTCATTTTTTTCTGACATGAATTGCACTTCTGATTCCTTTTTTTAACTTTTATGAAAGTTTGCAGAGACTTTGGATTTCCATCCATTCATTATTGCACACATTTCTTCCTACCCACCCCTCTCCACCTCCAGTTTTCTCTCTGAAAAGGAAAAGCAAAAAAAAATATTCTTTCATTGTTATATAGTCTCCCCCTCCCCCAGTCCACTCCACTATACAGCTTTCATTCTGGATCTTGTAGTGACAATAATACCTAATCATATATCCCTCCTAAGCAGTTTTCTCCCTCATCTATTTCAATTCAGTGTATATTATTGTCCCCTCTTTTCTTAGTTTCCTTCAACCGGGATGTCAGTCCTGCTTTACAGCAGAGACATTATGCAGTATTTTTCCTTTTGTGACTGAGATATTTCACTCAGCA